CACCCAACTGGCAGTGTAGATGATTCACCTACAGCATCACCCAGTTGGCAGTGTAGATGATTCACCTACAGCATCACCCAATCGGCGATGTAGATAATCCACCTACAGCATCACCCAATCGGCAGTAAGGAATTTTACGGTAGTTTTCACTCTACTAAACTGCAAACCTAATTTATGCCAGTAATAATAATTTTTTAAAAAGACAGGTTTTATAGGAACATCCACCCCCTACTGAGTAGAGGGAGGCAATAAACATTTCATTACCAGATAATACAAAATCCTATACAAAGAAGAAATAAAGGAAACACATGAAAGTATCGGGTTTAGGAGAAACATACGCACATGGCATTCCCACATCAATGCGGTAAATATATACTTGAATCACTAAGTAGAAAAAAGAAAATGTTGTAGCCAACAGAAAAGGTAAAAATCATGTACGATGAATAATGCCTAACTTTGGACACAGCGGTGCAATTTCCAGGTCCCAGTTATTAGGCCCAGAGTAAAAGTGCTTTATTGATCTGTTTACAACACTCTAAAGACAAGGATTCAAACTGCTGTTTTGTTCTGACATGTAAGGAACAGCTATGGAAAGCGCTTAGTTCACTGCTGGTAAGCACTCAGAAGTTCCTGAATGCACCAACTACACCATTCCTTCCCCTCCTCCAAAATATATGGTGAAGTATTAAACTCCGGTGGTGATGCAGTTAATGCACGGCAAGGTCAGTAGTTCAAGCTCACCAGTCGCTCCTTGAAACCATACACAGGGTCACTATGAGTCAGAACCAACTCAATGGCACTTAACTACATATGCAAATATGACCTTGTTTGAGGAAACAGGGTCTCTCATTGGTTGAAGACATTACCAGTGAGATCAAACCACAGTAAGCTGGGTCCTGCAGTGTGTCTTTTTAAAGGCCAGGACAGAGGTCAAGGTCACATATAGGGGAATCATATGAATGTCTTACCTCTAAGCAGAGGAACAACAAAACAGCAGGTACTATGAGAGGCTGGCAGAGACAAGCAAGGAAGGATCTTTCCTAAGTGTAGATAGACAGTACTGTTCTGCCAAAGCCTTGACACTCAGGTCTTCCATCTTCTAGAACTGTGGGAAAATTAATTTTTGTTCTTTAAAGTCACCTACTTTGTGGTATTTAGTTATGGTAATCCTAGGTAACGAGGACACTCCTCATGCATGCACGCACACACCAACTGAAAACTTCTCATCAATAAGCACAGGGTTAAATATTAAATGTCCTCATTAACAAGAGACATTCTATTACAGATGTGTGTCCATGATCATTTCTTTCACAGGAGGAGCAAGTCAGTTGCCCCTAAAGTTGATACTGACGAGAAAAGGAAGGAAAGAAAGCAGAATCCAATGAAGGTGCAAAGGCGGAAAGGAAAAAGGATGGTGAAATTGTTCACGTGAAGAGCTACCAACAAACTCCTTGAGAGGCAGGCCCACCAAGGAATGCTTAAGCCCATGTGAACTATCTGAACAGCGCTCAGAGTCATAAAGATCCGAGGAGCCTGGGCTTAAGAACTGCCAATACTACTGGGTGCATTCATTAACATGGCTCTAGCCACTCTGGCGTAGAAGCTCATCTAATAAGGGAAGCTTATCCTGACTTCAGCAGTCAGCCTCCCAGGGGTGGCTCTCACAGGGTTCTCAGTGTCCTCCCTCTTCATTGTGGTCTTTGGTCCCTCAAGGAATGACTTTATTCTCCCAGGACAAACTCAAAAAGACACTCAACCTGCTAAATCCTCAGTCGATTTGGTGCTGTGCAGTTCTTTTACACAATAACTCGGGATTCACATTACAAAATCTCCCCAGAGTTGGGTATAAAAAGCCTGTGTGCACCAAACAGGTATCACCCTGCCTGGTCATCTGCAAGTTTCCCTGTGTCCTGGTTCTCCACAACCTTAAGATGAGAGCTCCGTCACTAGTCTTCCTGGGGATTGCATGGCCTCTGCCAGTCTCTGAATGTAGGATCAGCACCGCAAGGTCAGTGGTCCAAACCCACCAGCTGCTCCTCTGAAGCCCTATGCAGGGTCCCTATCAACAACAGTAGGAAGCCTCTGAATCCTAGTACTTTTTGCATAAAGCAAACACGACATCTCTCCTCAGAGTCCTGGTGTGATGCTGTAGGCTCAACACTGGACTGCCAACAGCAAGGTTCGTCATTCAAACCCACCAGCTGCTCCTTGGAAACCCAACACAGAGTTGCTGAGTCAGAACTGACTCGATGACAACACTTAACAGGTTTCTCCACAGGCTTGCCCAACAATTCAAATTCCAGTGTTGGAGTTGGTTGACTGGCTATGTGCCTTTGAGCCAGGTCCAAGTCATAGTGACCCTGTATAGGACTTCAGAGGACGTAAATCTTTATAGGAGCAGAAAGCCTCATTTGTCTCCCACAGAGCTCCTTGCGGACTCGAACTGCTGACCTTGAGGTTAGCAGCCCAACATGTAACCCACTATGCTACCAGGGTTTTGAACTTCTTAGCTTTAAACTTTCTAGGGTTGGAGCTTCTAGCTGAAAGAACCCCAATACAATTTTGCATGCTTAATTGAAATAATGAATTTTGGGTTAAAATTTGAACTCACACTTTTGTCAGGATAATCTAGGATAAAATTTTCATTACCTTCTCATTGTTTTGTATGATTGAGGCAAGCGGTCCAGTTTTCCTACATTAACACATTATAGTTGCAGTATAAAAAAGGTATTTGTCCCTATTTATTCATTCATCCCTTCACTCAACAAATATTTGAGTTTTAGGTGCAAGTGATAGGCCTGGGGGACAGAGTGATGAAAACATAATCCCAAAATGTCATAATAATTTCTAACATGGTGTCACCTATCTCAAATGATCTGGCATTAAAAAAAAAAAAAAAAAAGATAAAATAATATTGGGAAGTGTGAGTACCCATGTGAAATAAATAGGCCATGACTAAATACTGTAGGAATTATTTCAATATTGGTATGTATGAAGGACATTCAACAATAAGATAAACAATATTGATCAGTACAATATGTGTGGGAGCGCAATAAGCACTAGACTGCAAACCACAAGGTCTACGACTTGAGCCCACCAGCCACTCTGTGGGAGAAAGATGAGGCTTTCTGCTTCTGAGAGGCTTTAAAGCTCCTTGGGAACCCTTCACAGGGTCGCTATGAGTCAGAACCAATTTGATAGCACTTAACAACACCAAAATGTGTGCTTTTCATTTAAAAGCACGCGGGTACCTTACGTTTAAAATTGCTGTCATTATGCTGTGTGTTATATAAAATATACTAATTGCTTGAACAAAACTATCTCAAGAATAAAACGAATAAAATTCTCTACAGCAAAGATTTCCCTGGCAATAATGAAACAACACAGCACAATGATTCCAACATTAATATATTATTCCATAAATGTATCAAAAATTGTACTACTTCTAGCACATAAAGTATCTTATGTTTGTAAAATATTTCTGGTTTCTATATATAACCAAAATGCAACTATATTAACAATTTTCTTACCAAAACAGAGTCCAGTATATGTACAAAATATTTTGGGGGGGCCTGGAAGTTTGTCCTTAGGTTTTACAAGTCTGTGTACACAGGAAATACACATATGCACACTCACAGGAAAGGTAAAAAATTTTTAAATCCTTTTAGATCTCTTTTTTTTTTTTTTTCTGTCTTTGAGGCTTGTTAAAAGAATCTAGAAAATTACCAAACAAAACAGGACAAAAAACCACACTTCACGCAGACAAAATGCATGTCAGTATTTGGACCTGAATTGGCAAACAGGTTTAATCCAGTCCCTCACAGATCCGAACGTCAAGAGGAAGGACGGACCTCTTCTGCTACTGAATTAGGTTGGTTGTCATTCTGAGACCCAGGTTGCTCATCCACATGGGTCACTTTATCTGAACTTCTTGCAGGAAGAAGTTCATTACTTGTCCCCTGATGGTTAGGTGATAATACAGTAGACATCAGAATGTGCAATGATTCTGCCCCATCTTCAATATCGCCTTGAATCCCTAGTGCTTTAAGAACGTCACATTTGCATATGGGGCATGTCCCATGGGCTAGAATCCAAGGGTCAATGCAATTCTTATGGAAAAAATGCTTACAAGTCAGAACACGAACTGTATCGTTGGGCTTATAGAGTTCAAAGCAAACTACACAGCTCTCTCCATTTGGCGTTATTTCCTCATCCCCCTCTTTTAAGACCCGGAGTTGGAGCTGGCCAAATGCTTTCTTGAGATCTGTTGTTAACCGCTGCCATCTCCTGTTCTGAATCCTTGCTACCCAAAGTCTCTGAATATGATAAAAGATGAAATACGCTAAGGTTGCAGTTGCGATGATAACGAAAGAGACAAAATAGTGATTCATCCAGATGATGTGCTTTCTCCCCACGTCAACTACAGCTGTGACGTGTACGCCCTTCTGAATTAAATGGAACATTTCTGTGCCTTTTAAGTTGCCAATCATCACCACCACGATGCCTTCAAATGCCTGATGAAACATGGGAAAAACTTGATTGCCAGTTCCTGGAAAGTTATAGATGATCACACCCCTGGCTCCTTTCTCGACGGCCACCTTAATTTTCTGTGTGAACGTACAACCTCCCCGTTCAATAAGTGCAAGCCAAGTCTCTGTGCCCGTTGGTTGCCTGAAATTGGTACTGGGATTACATGCATTTTGGGATTTCCCCTCTGGTGGCACAATAACACCTGCCACACTCTTCAAAGCAGAGCTTCTTCCAAATACTCCTGTCTCCCCTAACTCTGACAATATGCGATTCCCAACATGAAAGGATATGTTCATGTAAGCAATCCAAACAGCACTGGCGGTGCAACAGTTCTGACTAAGAAGCCAAAGAAAACTGAATTTCACAAGCCAGGAAACTGTAGCATTGTTTCTCCTACCGTCAATCTGGAGAACACTCATTTCTCTCTTCGCCCAGTGACTTAAGAACCAACCTAGCAACGAAAGGTGGCTTCCACATCTGTTGACAATTAATTGAAAATGATCAAACGAAAAAAATCTTCTGGGTGAAAACAAATTCCACTGACTTCCAGCATGTTTTTTTGAGGAGCTCTTAAAGATGTTTTATAAGTTTCAGATGTTTTATTAGAGAGCGGAAAGAAGAAAACTTTAGATTGAAAAGAAAATCCCAGTCTCACTACTGAAACTCTAGATCCTGCTTAATGCTGGGTGGTGTGATTATGACATAATAGACAACACAGCCAATTAGGTAAGAGCTCAGACCATGCTATGAGCATATTGACTTGAATATTTTCAGCGTCATGATGGGTAATTTCTATGTTGTTATTACATGAATTCAATCACTGCTCTACATATAATGTTAGCAGGTATCGCAATAAGTTAAACATCAAGTGGAATTTCCATTTATTAATATAACATTCTTACAATGTATGCCTTTTAGAATCTGTTTAGAGGGTCATATAATTACTTTTCTTCACTGAGTGAAGAAAAAATTTTCAACAAAATGTCAAGCTTTTTACAAACAAATGATAATTTTAAAAAAAGAACATTTAGGACCAAATGTGGAGTTAATAGTGGTGTACTCAGAAGCTATTTTTAATTAATTACAAGAAGGGGCTTCAAAAAGTTTACAGGAAATGGAATTGAAAGATAATGGAATTTTTCCAAACTTTTTGAAGTTCCTTGGTGTGTGTGTATGTATATATATACATATGAAGTGTATATATGAAGTCCTTCATATAAATCACACTAAATTTATTTAATACAAATTTACTAAGTGACTTTTTTTAAGTAGGGTATTTTATTTATTTGAAATTCACCTTCTCATTCTTAGCAATGGCTAGTCATCTATTCATATAGGTGACAGGATTGAAGAAGGAAAAATTGGTGACCAGAAACTCGTTTCTTTGCATATCCTGACATCTGTTCCTAAACAGTTAAATAAAATAGTATTGTTGTTAGCGTTCCTCAAGTCAGGCATTATTTATGGTGAACAGATGCACCTCAGAACTAAGTACCACTTTGTCTGATGTCATCTCTTGGAAGGGTTCTCACTGGTTGATTTTCAGAAGTAATTCACCAGTCCTTTCTAAAAGCAATATTGTTACTGTTGTTGTTAAGTGCTGTGGAGTCCAATACGACTCGTAGCAACCATGTTCAGGGTTTCCGAGGCAGTAAAGCTTTACGGGAGCAAAAAGTCTCATCTTCTCCAGAAGAAAGGCTGGTAGATTTGACTCTTAACCTTTTGATTAGCATCCCAACGCATAACCACTATGGTACCATGAGTTTGGCAACATTTATTCTAAACAAAAGAACAACTTCATGGTGCCCACTTAACATTAACCATTGAGGGCAGTGACTATTGAAGGTCATAACTGACGCTCTGTTTTGAAACTTCTTGTGAATTGAGTAAAGGTTTACAGAGCGATCATCAGTTTTATATCCAATAAATCATACACTTTGTTTCATCTCAATGATTGTAATCCCCTCCAACTGATGATTGTTTTAACAAAATATTACCCAAGCTCATCAAACAGCCCAAGGGCAGACTGCACCTCCATTTACCCAACACTGCATCAATGGCACAGTATAACGTCCGAGCCAAGGAATGATTTGCTAACAAGCATTGGCAGCCACTGCCACTGCCATGCAGGGTCCTTGAGGGGGGACAGTGCAGTGGGTTTTTTCCACCAGCTGGGATACCAAAGCCAAGGGTTTTGACCCTGAGCAAAAATGCCTCTGGCCTCTTAAGTTTAAGTGCTAAGAGGTTCTTTTGCTTGGGTCTCACAAGGACTAAAGAAACTAACTGTACAGTTTATGAAATGAAATGTTCATCAGTAATTGTGGGGCTACAAAATGGCAACTAAAGGGAGGAAAGGGAAGAAGTAAAGGCCCTGTTGGTAAAAACAAAAGCGTATAGAAAGAAAAGAAAATCTGTGTGAAAACCTCAGTTCACAATGGTTGATTTTTCTTTCTCATAACAACAATTTTGTTGTTAGGTGCCATTGAGTTTCTATTGACTCACAGCAAAATGAAACACCGCCTGATCTGGGGCCAACCTCACTACTGTGGCCACGCTTGCGTCCATCGATGCTGCCCCTTTGCCAATCCATCTCGCTGGGAGTCTTCCTCTTTTTCCTCTGACCCTCCACCTTACCAAACATATCCGATTAATTTCTTTTCCACAAATCTTTTTTTTTTTAAGGTAATCCACAAGTGTATAGACTGCAAAGTACCATCTGAGATGGAAATGAAAGGTCTAAAATGAACGGGTTAGCATATTGGCCATAAAAGATTTTTCAATAAAACAAAAAATCCAACTCATTCAGCCTCTCACTGGTACACAGAGAAAGAGGCAAAATAAAGCAAAAGACAAAACTTGAAAAAGCAATTACAAAAAAAGTGAAGGTCTATTCTATCACTGCTATGAAAATGCCCAACAGAGAACCACCACCATTTTGAGAAGTATTTACTAAGGACTCTTCCAGAAGGGAATGACTTGCCAGGCTAGGATTGAAGGGTACTGGCAAACAAAGGGTGTGTGCGCAATGCTACCCTAAATGAGGTCATATGTTTTCAAACATTCTTAGTCAAGACCTCAAAACAACTACCATCTAAAATAACTATTTAGAACAAAATACCCACACACCTTGTCAGTAGGTTTGGTAACCAAATATCCTGAAGATTCGGAGTATTAATCAAAGTAATCAGTCACAGAAAATTAAATTAAGATCTTATCCTTAAATGAAGTTTATTGATCAGACATGTAAGTTATTAGATACCAAAAACTAAGCAAAATATGGAAGCAAAGCACAAACATTAATATTTATAAAAAGAAACTTTGAAATACTATGATTAATGTTCTATGATATCAAAGTTATAAACACTGTAAATTGAAGATAAAAGCTAATACTGTTTCTAACATATACTAATGTTCTTATTTGTACATGAGTACAAAGGTGTAGCAATTAAAACCACCTAGGGAAAACAAACACAAGTTCAAATAGCTGGGCATGATATTAAGTTTTATTTTAAAAACACACACGAGTTTTACTCTCGTGAAGTACTTGGGTAGAGAAGATTAACTTGAATTTTCACTTATTACATAAAGTAATAGAATTCAGCTAATTTTAATCTTGGGAAAAACTCAGTTACATTTTGAGATGATTCTTTGGGTTTCTTAAGTCTTCAGAATGTCACACTTGCACATGGGGCATGTCCTATGGACTAAAAGCCAGGGGTCAATGCATGCCTTATGGAAGAAATGTTTGCAATTTAAGATACGCACTACATCTTGGGGCTTGTATATGTCAAAGCAAACCACACAATTGTCTTCATCTGGATCTAGTTCCTTATCGCCTTCTTCAAGCACTCGCAGCTGGAGCTGCCCAATAGCTCTCTTCACATCTGCCTTAATCTGTCTTCGTCTCCTGGTGGAAGAGTTGGGCACTCGAGGTCTCCAGGCACAGTATAAGAAGAGGTAAGCCACAGTGGCAGCCAGGAAGGTAAACAGAGACATGACATAGTGGCTCAGCCAAGGTACATGCATTCTCCCCACTTCAATTATGATCGTCACATACACTCCTTTCTGAATCAAGTGCATAAGTTCCATGCCTTTCAAGTTGCCTATCATCACAGCGACTATGTTTTCTGTTCCCTGGTGAGACATGGGGAATACTTTGTTGCCCGTACCTGGATAGTTATAGATGATCACCCCATTTGCTCCCTTCTCTGCTGCCACATTGATTTTATGGGTAAACGTACAGCCTCCTCGTTCAATGAGGGCCAGCCAAGACTCTGCCTGCTCTGGCCTGCTGAAGTTGGTCATAGGATTGCAAGCGTTCTGATTCCATCCTTCAGGAAGTGCCACTGCGCCAGACACCCTTTCTAAAGGCGAATGATTCCCGAACACTCCACTCTCTCCTAATTCTGATATAATTCGATTTCCCACCTGAAATGTTATATTCAGGTGGGCCGTCCAAATGGCTTTTCCTTTTGAGTCAGGAAGGCTGAGTAACAGAAAGATGCTAAGTCTCAACAGTCCATATACAACAGAGCTATTGGTTGAAGGAGTAATTCTAAGTAGATTCATTCCGCCATTTGCCTATTAACTGACACACATGAAAAACAAAGTAACATCAATTGTAAAGGAAAGTAAAAAATGCTGACTTCAACTGTTGGCCGTAGATAATTAAAGCTTGTAAGTGGAAAAGGTCTATGTGGATCAAAGATCTCTGGCTCCATCCAGTATTTTAATTTTTGGTAGTTTATCTTTCTTATAATGAAACAAAACAACAAGAGGTGTGATTAGTACAATGTGATTTCAAAAACACTGTGACTTCTTAATGGGAAAATTGTGACATCAGAGGTAGTTCAGCCAATCCAAGAGTTTATATCAGTGCACTGCGTACTGAAATCCTATTGGCCAAAGACTACTAGGCACTGACTCATGATATCTAACAATTTGAATAAATTCTAAAATAATAAATAAATAGATAGGAATTTTTTGAAGTCCTGAGTTTCTTTCCTAGTTCTAGATAATTTGAAAAAACTACCTAATCACTTCATACTTTTTGTTTTTCTATCCAGGAACAATGGCAGAACTCTTTCATGCACTAGAACATGTATATGGCAGGCCCCAGCTTTTGTGTATGGTCCCATCCCATGCAACATGCCATTCTGTAAGAAGCTGAAACAACACATTGTTTCTGTCTTCTACTGTTAAATGTTTATGCCAGGCCTAAAGAGTTAACACAAAGGAAAACATGTATAAGCTTATTTTGTTAAACTGATCCATTGCCCTCTTACAAAGTAAAATCAACTTTACTCATTGAAATAATTTCTGAGAATTTACTATGAGCTACACAAATGTTTGAGAGCCAAGGTCGGTGGTTCCAGCTAACCAGCTTCTCCTTGGAAACAGGGTCATTACAAGTCGGAATTGATTCAACAGCACTTAAAAACAAACAACAACACACAAATGTTAAGTGTGCTGCCTATACTATAGAAGAAAACAACCCTATTTTTGTTTTGTTTATAATCTAGTGAGGACAGATAGTAAATAAATGTTGTTGTTGTTGTTGTTAAGTGCCATCAAGTCGGTTCTGACCCATCGCGACCCTGAACAGGGTTTCCAAGGCTGTAAATCTTAAAGGGAGCAGAAAGCCTCATCTTTCTTCCACAAAGCAGCTGGCAGTTTCTAACTGCTGACCTTGAGGTTCACAGCCCAATTCGTAATAATAAATAGCCACAAGTAAATAACTACTGTTGTTGTTAAGCACCATTGAGTTGGTTCCAACTCATAGCGATCGTGTACAGGACTTCTAAAGAGTGGCTAGTGGGTTTGAAACACCAATGTGCAGTTAGCAGTCCAGTGCTTACACTACAGCACATCAAGCTCACCAGGGGCTCCTCGGAAACCCTATACAGGATTGCTATGGGTCAGAACCATATCAATGGCACTTAACAACGACAACAGGGCTATGAAAGAAAAGCAGAGCCTACCAACAGGAAGAATAAATGAGAAAGTGAGCCTAATGAAGAAAAGGGGATCATTGTGTTTGATTTAAAATATAAACCAAGACTCAGCCCAAGCGGAGGCCCTGAACTTTTAATATCTGTTTCCTTTTTGTTCTGTTTTTTATCATGGGAAAGAGTAGGAGAGGGCTGAAGTGAGAGAAAGAGAGCCAAAGGTTGGATTGGAGCCTGAGGTGTAGCATAACAACCAACACTGGCAACTTGGAATCTCTCGGGCAGCTTTCAAGGCAGGAAATTAGGACATTAAAGCCATACTCTTATTAAGCTACAGATTTTTTCCCCCTTCTTTTTCTTCTCTCCTTCTGCTCCCTTTTCTGTGATTAGAGACTGCAGTATT